CTACCTTCCTTCCTTCCTTCCTTCCTTCCTTCCTTCCTTCCTTCCTTCCTTCCTTCCTTCCTTCCTTCCTTCCTCCCTCCCTCCCTCCCTCCCTCCCTCCCTTCCAAAGGAATGTTATTTTGTCCCATAGTTCAAGATTTTTATTTGTCAAAGTCATACTAGAAAAATGACTTCTTTTCCACTGCACTCCTAAACACCACTGTACCCGTCTACTGATTTTGCTTCCTACATCTGGAGTGATGGGGATGGAGGTCTGAGGCCCAAGGGTCTTTTCTGTGTCTCCCTGTGGTAAAAATGCTGGCAACTTTTTGGAGTTTGGAGAACAAGAGCTTCTGTCACTACATCCTAGAGACCTACTAAGAGGCTCACTGAGGGAGCAAAGGAAGGTGTTTAGACCCCTAAGCACTATATTATTGATGTACTTCTTACTGAAAGAAAAGTCACTAGTAGGTCATTAACTTGATTTGAAATGAAGTGTTTGGCTCCTGTGAGTCTGGCCCAGGGATGACACCGGTCCCCAATCCCTTTGGTGGGATACCCTGCCCAGGCTGTGGCTGGGAGGAAGAATGCAGATGTCATTCCCAGTTGTTAGGAGCTTCATAGCTGTAGTTTGGGGAGCCAACTACAAGTCAAGAGAAAACTAGGTGTCTGGAGAGAAAGCTCTGCACTGGGAGCAGTAACCTCAGGCCCTACTGAGATTGGGAAGGGGGGCACCAGACGTTGGCTTTCGAGAGGTTTGTGCAAGCACTGGTGTTAGTGGATCTCAGGGACAAGCACTGGTGTTAGTGGATCTCAGGGACAAGCTCTGACTGCCTCTGGCTGAGTCTTCACTCCTTTGATCGCTAAGCTTCACTCATTTGCCCTCCATGTTCGACATTTTGCATCATCCTTATTCCATCTGATCCATTGTTACTGAATTTTTTTTGTATCAGTGTGGTATACAATAATCCATCATTACCCACAGTTTTGTTTTCTGTAATTCTTCAACCATCCATGGTCTACTATAGATAGTAAATGAACATTTCCAGAGGTAAATAATCCATGAGATTAAATTGCATGCCATTCCAAGTAGCTTTCTCTCCAGATACCTAGTTTTCTCTTGACTTGTAGTTGGCTCCCCAAACTACAGCTGTGAAGCTGATGAAGTCTTGTGCCAGCTCACTCTTCCCTACCTTGGACATGTGCCAGGTTGTTGTACAGAGTGTCCATGCTGTATGGACCACCCACCAACACCAATCGTCCTTCTCCAGTGTATTCATGCTGTGTATACTACCCACTGATGTAAATCATCCCTCTCTACTGGGTCCATGCCGTGTACACCATCCATCTGTGGTCCAGGGTTCCACTGTGGGTCTTGAAACACATCTCAGAGGACAAGAAGCCACCATTGTAATTATATATGTATTTGGTTTATGTCCCATCTCTGTCACAGAACTGACACCTTGTGATTTCCTGAGTGATAGGAGTATCTTGCCACAATGGGTTCCTTTAGATGTCTCAGTTCACAGCAGAGATGGTAATGAGATGATGTAGGTGGCATGGCACTCGCTTCAGAATGGGGCCAGACATGGGAAAGGACAATTGAGGGCCAGAACCTTTATCCATGCGCCCCAACCTCCAAGGCAGAGCCAGAGATGGAGCTCTACAGCATCATGGACAAGGAGATCTGATGGGCTTTGGGTTGGTGAGTACATTCCCAGGCTGGGAGGGTAATGTCCCCGAACTCCACAAGGATAGAAGCTCCTATGTCCTGGACCCTTGTGAACCCTACCGCGTGAACTTCTCCATCTGACTGTTTGTCACTGTCCTTTATTTTACATGAAGGATGTTCCCCTGAGGCCTTAGAGACATCAAGTAGGGCATGCCCCGAGACAGTTTATAGCTGGTCACCCAGGAGTGCAAGTGACCAGGTGGAAGCTGAGATCAGAGATCCAAAGACAGCGGAGGTGGGGCAGTCTCAAGGGACCAGGTGCTTGGAGCCTGCTTCCAAGTAGAGTGTCCTCTGGAAAACTGCTGCAGGCGTGTGACCCCCCCCCCCAAACCCAGTGTTTGTGGGGGAGAGCAGTAAGAGGTGACTCTGAGAATCAGCTCTTTTGTGTGACTACTGTGCTTCCAAGAGATGGCTGGTGTCCGTGCCAGCATGGGCTAAACATGTGCTAAAAGGTAGCAAGGCCCACACAGGCTTCCGAAGTCCTGCCATAGGCTCTCGAAGTGCCACTCACTTTGGGATAGACTGGTGCCCACCTTCACCTTTTCTTCTGACCCTTTGGGCAATGACCTTTATCTCTAATTGCCATGAGGGGTTGGACTTCCTTCCCTGTCCTTTAAAATGGACATGTTATCTTTAATCCTATTTCATTGTGTGTGTGTGTGTGTGTGTGTGTGTGTGTGTGTGTGTGTGTGTGTGTGTAGGTGTGTTTTCTGTTCCTTGGGTATTATGCTCAGGTCTCTCATTGGCCTGGAGCTCACTAATTAGGTTAAGCTGGCCAGCAATTCTCCCATCCCAGGAATCCTCCTGTCT